ATATATATATATATATATATAGAGAGAGAGAGAGAGAGAGAGAGAGAGAGACGCGCCGATTTCGTGACTCAACTAGGTCCTAATGTTAATCGTCAGACTATACCTGCGGTATATATGTAAATTTGCGCGAATCTAACCCCGGCTATCAGGAGTCCAAAAGTTTACTAGACACTTGGCTCAGCACAAATAGTTAGCTGGTGAATATATTTTTCAGTGCGACGCCGATGTATCTTTTCAGAATATTGTGTGCGTTCCATGAGTAGTGTTCTCCTATCGACTCCAGATTTAATTATTTTTCGTTGCTATTGCTTGGATATTCTGATAAAATTTGCTACATGAGCCTGACGTGCTACGATTTCATTCCAATCATCAATAATTATACTTCGCCTAATATATTCGATTTCTGCTAAAGTTCGTTCGATTGGAGCATAGTGTTCAAAACCCACAGCTAAAGCGATTGTCCAACACCCATGAAACGAGTTTTCGATTAATTATAATCTTCCTTTTAAGAATGCGATGGAAAGTTTTTATATAAAGTCTTTTTGACATAAGTGAACTTGAGGTGACCTGTACATATATATTAGACAACCTCATCTTAAAATGCTCATCGCACATATTATTATAATTTGTGCAACTTTTGGTAAAAGTAAGTAGATAGATAAATAAATAAATAGATAGATAAAAGTATACAGATGAAAATTTATATCTTTAGAGCATACGTACGTCCGAGTTTTAATAAGAAAAATAAAAATAATAAATGATAAAGTAGAGAAGGTAACTGATTGCATTTTCATTAAATATGCATAGTACATCCAGTGATTGTTTAAAAATAGCGAGGAAAATTTTACTACAGCAAAGATCTTGATCTAGAAGAAGTGCTGATTGAAATGATCGGAATCGCGCGTTTTAAATGTTGTTTTATGCTCCGACCGAGAAACAGAAGCTCAACTCCTCGCATACATTAATAACATAACATGTCGCCTCTGGGCTACACTTCGTTTTCGAACCTTTGGCTAAATCCTACTCTCTCTCTCTCTCTCTCTTTCTATCTCTCTCTCAATCTATACATCTATCTATTTCTACCTCTTTCTGTTTTTTTCATTCTTTTCTTCTGTATCTGATTGTCTGTCTCCTTTGTTTTACTTTCGCTCTCACACTATCCCTAGCTCTTTTAAGTTAAGTTTCTCAATACTAACCAGACATTATAACTTTTTCATTCACTATTTTTCGATTCGTTTGCTTTCTAACTGTTATATTCTCCCTTTCTCATCGCTGCTTTCTTTTTCTTTTTCTCTCCATATGTCTGTTTTATATTAGAGCAATAAATGATAGTCGAATAAAACTTTAATTACTTCACGAACGAAGACTGTTAAAACTTAATCACCGTCTTGTCTTGATGCTAAGACACGTACTGATATCTGAATCTCTGCTCAACTTTCTGAATTTGCTCATGTCATGTGGATTGCTTTTTATATTATGGGATGTTTTGATGTTTCACGCTCTCCCCTTGCGAGTTATCTTGTTTTGATGTCTGTCATGAAAGTATAATAATACTTGATGTTGGGATATACTTGGAAAGCTAGTCGAAGCTACCATATATGAAATTAGTTATCTTGTAACTCACCATGACAAAATAAGCTCAAGCCGTTGTATATTTATATCAATCGCGTACTTTATAATTTCATAGAATTTATATATCTCTTGTTCAATTTGCTCATGTTGGAAAAACTTCGGTCTACGAACTTTGTTGAGTTTCACAGCTACAACATGAGAAAAAGTAAGTTCAAAATATTATTCTAATTATTACATTCAGAGTATGTTATATCATTAGCCAATTACATTGCATTAATTAATAATTTTGTCATTTATAAGGTATGAGCAGTTTTAAAGGCTGAAAAATCCAAGATTGTTTAGCTTATGGTAATTTTTTATTTTGATGTAAAGACAACTGCTCGGAACAGTGACTGAAATTCACTCGTCACCGTAGAAAGCAAACGAAATACTTTGACGACGAGTGCACTTTACATAATAAAATCGCTCTTACGTAAGAATGACTTGGAAAAGGTTTGTCGGGAGTAAATGAGCGAGTCGCCAATTGCTCATATGACCGAATAAAAATCGGATACCCGGGACGGAGGCATTGATAGAAGCTTGGAATAATTTTCCGCTACTCGGAGACGCGAGCGCATTTCGCGAAACCAATATTCGCCAAAACCCGGATCTTGCTGGTCAGATAGTGTTAATATTAATAGGCGAGTATCAATGTGACCAGATAGCCGAAGCCGAACGACGGCGAATTGAATCCCCATAAGGAGAGTCGAGCGGAAGGAGCGAGCGGAGTCCGGGCACTATATCTATAGAAATTTCTACGAATGTCGCATGCCTCGGGCCGCGCCAACAGGTGTCCCTTTCACGGCTGTTTCTCTGAATGAACTCCCTCTCTGAGCCGCCCACGCGCCAGTCTAAACAGAATGGCAAACGCACGGCCAAGGGGATCGGTTTCGGGAGGGAGAGAGTGAGCCAGCGCCGACGGCACAAGTATTGAGCCCTCGCGGACGACTCTTTCGCGGAGACAATTCTTGTTCCAATTGAGATTTCTTCAGGCGCAAAGGTGTCGGCCGACGTCGCCATTTCGGACAGGCAATTCGTCGGGGAAGTACGTATGTAATCCAACGATAAGTTCGCTCCTTTGTATGCTGTCCTCTGCCGTCGGATCGTCGGCCAAAGATAAGTTCCGCACGAACCACGCGCGCGTCTTTTTGTTTCTTGTTTTTTTTTCCCCTATCCTCCACCCCCCCCCCCCTCTCTGACGCGTTCTAGCTTGGTTTGGCCCTTTAACCCACGTGTGCATTTGAGCGAGTCTTTTTTACAATTTCATTTTTCCCCGCACCGGATTAATCCGGCCTTTCATGTTCCACGGCACTCCGCCGGGCGTTTGACAGCTGAGAAATTATCGTTTGCTTATGACGGACGAGATTCTTTTTCCCTTTCCCTTTCCCTCTTGTTTTTTCGTTTAGAGACGGCAGCGTATTGTCTGGTGAGACGGAAAATATTTTTACTCATGGTTTCTTCTACTTTTTTCTGCTTTGTTTTATTGTTTAAAATCATTCAAACAAAGTATTCTTTATTGAGAAAATTCATCGACGATATTTTGACAGGTTAGACTTTGAATCACTCGGTTATTTAAAGAGTTCAAAATATTTGCTAGTTTTTACTTATTTTTCTAGATTTCTCCATAATATTTCGAACAATTGTAAAATTTCCATGCTTCATACATTAATAATAATCTCAATATACTTATTTTATTACGGTATTAGATTAAGTCGAAAGAGAAGTCGCTATAACTTTTAAGTTTGTTGCTCAGTCGTTTTATAATCAATAGTATGATTCATTTTCAAAACGTTAATTTAGTTTTAACATGAATACAAGTTTAACTAAAAGATACAATTTATAATAGACATATTTTGTTAGCATTATAATTACTATGGAATCAGTTAAAATAAATTTTAAAACTATTCGACATGTTTAAGAATTATACAATTTTTAAAGAATAAACAATTTTTATTTTTTGTAACTGCATGCGAGGCTATTGAATTGCTTTAAATAATAAAAATTGAAAAATTGAAGGACTGATTTATAGCATTAAAATTTTATACGCATTAAATTGCGAATGAAATCTATACGATGTAATAA